CGCGAGCATCCTGAGCTGCAGCAAAAATGGTGGGACCACTCACCTACAAACAGTGCGGTGTCGACACTCGTTGTTGCAGGAACTTCAAGCAAACCAAAATGCTGGACACCTACTTCTCTGCAGCACGATTGAACCCATGCTTGTGCTCTCACCAGGCACGAGAGAGCACTGTGATCGGTTTCTTTCCAACTGGCCGCTTGTACCACGAAAGATGTTTGAGGCAATTCTCGCAAGATTTGACGGACATGTTCCATGGTAACGTCTTCCAGCTTCTTCCAGAGCATATCAATGCCCCAGCGTTTGCGATAAACCGCTGCACTGTGGCTGTCAGACTCACACAGCACTACTTTGACTACGGGCACATGCAACAAATCTAAGGCCTGCCGGACACCTCCAATGTTTCCGAACCAGTCAAACAGTAAAATGCCTTTGCTGCTGCTGAGACAGTGCGGCACCGAAGCGGCCTGCAAGGTCTCCAACGCCACGACATAGTGCCCAACAGCAGTCATCTTTTCACCTTCGCACACGCCCCCTCCCGTCTCCGAAGCATCACTAGCAGTAACCTTGTGGCTGAGTTTGGCTCGAAGGTTGGTTTCTAGGAGGGGCAAAGCTCCGAGCACTGCAAACACTTCACGTCGCTCCAATGGCGAAAGCGGACCCGCGACTGGAGGCCCTATTATCCTTCGCCATAAAAACTGCACAAAAGAGAAAGCCGGTCGCCGAAACTGCATGATGTGCACCAATTTGCCGAGAAAGATTTGAACACTCTTGCGTGTAAGCTGTTCCTGGCTCAGCAAAAAGAAGGCTAGCTCAAAAACTTCAAGCCGCTTCTCAAGATGCACTCCCAAAAGTCCTCGGTCGCCGTCCAGCTCCACGCCCAGGCGTGTCGCGAGCTGTTGGCGCCTGACACTTTTGTTGTCAGACCAAGGTATTCCCCAGCTACCATATATCCGTTGCAAAATCTGCTGGAATGGTGAGTGGGTATCATGTGTCTTTTCCTGCTGAGTAGACTCTTCGTCCACCCACTCCAAGAACGTCGAATCATCCAAATACAAATGCCAAAGCTCTTGGAACGCATCAATACTTACTTTCGGGAGAGGAGCATCACGGCGGATTTCTGCCAACAAAGGCAAACCTTGACCATCTACCAGGGTGGCTAGTCTTCTATGAGCGTGCTGCAAAATCCCCACTGCAGAAAGCCATCCCATTGGCATGACTGTGGCCGCCAGATAAACGTCGGACTGGTCTTCAGAATCTTCGAAGAGATCACAATGCCTCAGCGTTTTCTCAAAGGCAAACAGGGAATGCCAGCTTGACGGTAACCGAAACAAGTAAAAAGCCGCAGTGAGATCATCCCCACTAATGCGCAGAACTTGTCCTTTTGGGAGCACCAAATTCACCCACTTTCCGGGCCCACTCAGGGTGCTGATATCGCCTACAATGGGTGCTTGAATGTGGTTTGATGGGCGCAAATCCATGATAAATCTGAGGACGGGCCTTCCATCCGGACAGAACTTGCCAGTCTTGCTTACACCAAAGGCACCATTCAACAATGGCTTTCCCTTGATGTGATGCACTTCCTCCCTCTTCAACGGCCGTGCCAGGCCTTTCCGCACCAGCTCCTTTGCGATCTTCGCCCACTCAGTGTGGGTGCACAGCACCTTAGCTTTCGGCAAGTCATCAGAAAAATCCTGTTGCTTTAGGACAAGCGAAGGATCATCCAGACATTTTCGAACATCACCACTGCACAGGTCTGACAACTCAATGCAAGCTGACTTTCCTTCTGGAGGCAAACCTGGCAATATCTGTTCTAAAGTCAACCACTGAGCCTTCTCCACGACCTCTCCTGTATAACCGACACTGACGCTCTCCAGTTTATGATTCCAATCAGACACGTGGCAACGCACAGCTAATCCTGACTCATTTGTAGTCTGAACAAACCGTGAACTTTTCTCTGCAAGGTGTTCCAGTGCCTGACTCTGAGAAACTGAAGGCTCTGCAAGCACGACGAGCTCTCTGCCCCATGCCATGTTCAGGGACATGGTTTGGCAGACCGTCCATGCCTGCGTCCCCAACGTCATCATGTGCCGTTGCTTTGTGCGGGCTGAGTGGCTTTCCTGGTTTGGGCAGGGCGCCATTTCCATGCTGGACACAGCCGCTGCAACTGAACGAGACACGCTTTGACAAGGCAAGGGCAAAACATCCCGGTTTCGCCCACTTCTGCCGGGAGGCGCAGTGAAAGCACTTAGCAAGTATCTCGCTTCAGGAAAAGCCACTTTGTCATGTAAAAACCACTTCAAGAGCAAAATGCCCAACTGTGCAGCTGAGCGCCTAGGAGCAATCTGAGAGCGCACCCAGGCCCTCAATTCCGCATCCGCCGCTCTCACTTGCGACCATGCTTGCCATCCCCCTTTTGGTGAAAGCTTCGTCCGCCTTTGCCTTTTGATCCTTTGGCATGCTCTTCTGAGCGGCGATCTCCTCCACGATGGGACTCCTCTGCTGGAGGTGGCGGGCGCACACGCCGCGCCCACCCCTGCTTCAGGAAGCGCTGGTGCTGCTTTGCATTTGCGGCTCTCCGCTGCAACGGCGGCTTCCGCCTCCAAACTTCGACCTCTAATGCGGTCGCCTTCTCTGGAGGACGGCCCTCCCCCACACCAGGAGGTTTGGGAGGGAAAGACGGGCCACCGGGCACGTCCCGAGTTGAAACTTTCACACTTGCCGGCTCGGTCAAAGGATTCTCTAGCACGGGTGCCATCGGGTTGTGAGTTTTGGGCGTCACCGGCACACCCCCCGACTTGGGTAGTGGCCGGCCGCCTGCTTCCTAGCCCGAGTTTGGGCCTTTGTGAGCCTTTTGCAACGACTCTTTCAGCTTTGCGGCGCGCAAAGCTGCCTTTGCGGCGAAATCGCGCTCCTTGTCGGTGGTGATTGCTGGCTTGGACGGCGGAATCAACTCGTAGTGCTTCGCCACGCCCCAACCATCTGTCAGTGATGACTCCACGGCTTTCAATCTTTGCATGAGGACATCGCCCAACCTTGCAAATTGGCCGGAAAGGAGTAAATCCAGGGAGGTGGATAATGTGACAATCTCACGGGCATTCCGCAAGCCCATGGCCTCCGGCGGGTGATTGGCAAAGAGCACCTGGCTAACATAAGCCCCAACCTTGGTCTCACGCCAGCTCTCGCCGGTGTCGCTCACAGCAGCTCCCCCGCCCGGCTTGTCGAGCAAGTACCGTCGCATCTCCTCCAAACCTGATTTGAGCAACTTCCCAGGGTCCCTTTTGGAACTTTCGGCCAAAGGTTCTACACCGACACGCCCCGTGTTCCTCAAGGGCGAGCCCGACCGCGAGGACGTTGAAGAACTATCACTTGTAGAACGTTTGCGCTTTCGCCCCGATTTCCTTTTCTTCTTTTTCTTTTTGCTTGAGCTTCCTCGGCCCGCATCGTCACTTGAGATATCGTGCAAGAAACTGCCTGGATCATGATGGACGCCATCTTTACCAGCAGCCTCTACCAGGGCTTTGTCAACCCGCCGACGTTTCGGGACAGCTGGTGACTGAAGTGCTTCTTGGCGCTTATGCCCATGGATGCCGCGGCCTCGGAGTTCACCACCAGGCGCTTCATCAGCGGGTGGGGGCAAGCTGCCTACGCCACCCAACCCCGTGGCATCAAGGAGACCTGGCTTTCCCGTCCTAAGTGCCTCACGAATCCTTTGACCTTGACGCTCGGCACTCTCCTCATTCTCAACGTCGATGGGGGCTCCTTCATAGTGTCCGTGCCCTTCGGGGCCAAAGCCTGCTTTCCCACCTTTCGCAAGTGGATTTTGGGGGCTAAGCGCACCTTCTCTCGCAAAGCAGCAAATGCCGTGGCACTAGCCCACGGTTCCACTGCTAATTCGCTCAATGACGAAAGCCTCCATTTTGAAATGTGCGTTACCTTGCGATTTCTCTTGTTCCACCCGCACTCCCAGGCGTTGCACCCGCACAAATGGAAAACACTCTTGGTAGGATCTGCAAGGGCTGATTTTGCCCAATGGTGATACCCTTCATCGCTTGCGGCCAAATGTTTCCCCGTAAAAGCGCCGAAACCGTCACTGCAAGGAACAGATTCTAGCACCTCTACTGCGGCAGATCCCTGAGGATTGTTTGAATGATCATACACATCAAAATGCACGAGCCTCCCAGCCCCAAGCACGCCTTGGACACAGGCTTGAATGCGCTCCTCGTCTTGGGCCCGGCCACAATTCATCACTTTCTTGAAACATGGATCGACATCAGGCTCGCAAGCCAAAGAATTCCAATCCTTCTCTTCATAGCCTTTATCTAGGATGGTCCTTTTGAATCCCCGGAGAACGGCCTCTCGCGCATCCATGAAGGAAGAATCCGCCCCTCAAGGGCTGATCGCGTCGAGAGCTCTACGCAAGCGTGGTCACCATAACATCCGAGGACTCGGGAATCAGATTTTAAGATAAAGACTCGAGCTGAAAGATATGGCGGCGCAACCGTGAATGCCACAGCTCCGTGCATGTTCCTGCTCA